AGAGAGAGAGAGAGAGAGAGAGAGAGAGAGAGAGAGAGAGAGAGAGAGAGAGCATGCCTTATCTTTCCGTTCGGTATTCTTGCTGATGGCTGAGGTTGAAAAGTGGAATGGGTTGGCAGAGAGAGAGGGTGGGGAAGGGAGAGATAAATTAGTATTATTTGTTGTTTTAGCTTTTTTCAAGAAGGGGGATTTGCGCATGTGAAGAACAAAGTGCGTGGTTTTAGAAGTACTTTTGTTTTATGGTTACGGTTTTAAAACTAAAAAAAAGAACATCTTGAGGATCATTTAGCGCCATCGCGCAATGATGGTTGAATGCAGCACTGCGTGAATGTCGCAAAGTCATCGTAAAGAGGGGGTTTCATGCAAGGCAGTGTTTCTGTGTGTTTTTCTTTTTCTTTTTTTGGTCGGTTCATTGCTGCAGGGCGGATGTATATGTTGTGGAAAGGAGTCCAAGTCCTGAGAAACTTGTAGCTGAAGGCAAAGAGGGTGTGTATTTTTACCTTATCCACTCGGGCGTTATGTTTTGTTGTGTTGTAACTCTACGATACACATTCTGTTTTGCGTTCTGATCTTGAGCATAATCATGCGATGTCCGAGCTCAAGACGTGATGTGCTCTCTCTCCATAATCATGTGTGCTCTCTCCACAATAATGTGTAGATGTGTAGTCTCTGCACAATAATTTGAATTCTCTCCAGAATAATGCATATTCTCTACACAATGATGTGTAGTTTCCCCCTCCTCCCGCAATACTGTGTAGTCTCTCCACAATAATGAGTAGTCACTCTACATTGTCTACAATAATGTGTAGCCACCAGAGCATGACCATGCAACATGCAATCCAATGGTCTGTGTGCAAAGATGTTAGAGGGTTAGGAGAGGTGGAGGAGCAGCAGTCCCCAAATCAAACATGCTACTCTCCCTGAGATAACCATTGATGGTGGCAATGAAGCGCAGTGAAAACTGCTTCGATGTAGAAGACATCCATCCCTCTCCCTCTCCCCTCCTGCCCTCGCTTTTTGCAACCTCTATGATGGGTATAATAAAGCCCAGCGAAAACTGCTGCAATGCAGAAACTGTCCATCACTTTTTCTCTCTTCCCCTTCCCAAGTTTCTCCCTTCTTTAAGTCTTCACATTCTTTCTCTCTGAAGATTCCCTCCACTATGTGTTGAGCTATGGCTACACGAAGATCCATGCGACGCAGAAGCCATCCATCTCTCTCTCTCTCTCTCTCTCTCTCTCTCTCTCTCTCTCTCTCTCTCTCTCTCTCTCTCT